GAAGTGCAATATACCCGTGTTTGAAACAAATATAATTTATTAATAACTTACAAGCACAGTATGAGTTCTTGTTTTTGTCTGTTGGGCCGCACGACTAATTCGACACTACAGCAGAGTTGCGATAATGCTTCGCTTATCTCAATGTGCAAAGAAACATTTCCGACAACCAAAAACTAATGATTCATGCAAATATGTTTTTTCTGGAAGTATGCTTTCTATAACATCGGACAGTATTCAGTGTATCACAGTATCATACTATACAAGAAATATATCAGTGTGTCCCATAAAATAGCATTTTGATTGGCGACTGAGAATAATACAGCATACCCGAACCGAAATGATGTGTTAGAATGTGCGGCACTTCTGCATCACGCATTTAATGAGCCGCAGAGGATCGCCAAACTTCGCAGAAATACCGTGACTCCTTTTAGTGCGTGCATCTCCTCTTTGCTTATGTTCTTGAACGGCTAACAATTTAACCGGTAACTCTCAGAGCCATCTGAAGTCTACTGAAATCTGCAGCGCAAATGAACATGGCATTAGGAAGTATTTGCGAGATGATACCCGACCTCCATTGTCAAATGATTACTTCAAGACACTCACATGATGGCAGGAGTACGCGATAAGATATTAAAAGTAGGCTTTACATGAAAAGAAGGACCTTACCATTCTTTAACGGGCATTTACACGATTCCTCTGATGCTAATAGCTGAGATAAGAGAGAGCGTCTGGTGAAGAGAGGATTAACAGCTCACTGGCAAAGTGGCCTTACCCACCACTATACTCAATGTACTGTAGGGCAATTTTTGCTGTAAGACTTATGGATCCATCTCTGCTAGGACAACAACAAGGTATGTTTATCGAAAAGAAGTTAAGAACTTTTACCAGCTGTCCGCCGATGCCACACAAGCGTCATCCGAGAATGTCGTCATAGCCAATACTCGGGAGGGGGCAGAAGTTTCGAGTTCGACGAGCCCCTATCCACCACCATAGCAGACCAACAATAACGTACAGAGCAGAGAGAAAGCGACCGTTCTGTAGTGCACGTTGACTCGCAATGAGTCAAGAGTGAAGAGTCGCTTTTCGCTGCGAATCTGAACGGACGAACTGTCTGCTCTGACAAACCGGTCGGTGCTCTTCTCTCTTATTGCCTTGATATCTGCTGGCCTCATCGGTGGCGGATAAACGTAATATCGATGTCTGGTCGACAACGGCATTCGAACGTGTTTATCCTTATCGGACAGGACAAAGTCAAACGAACGATGGCTGACGGCAGCGTCTGACCTCGGAACGAGAACAGTCGATCACAAACGCGGCATATCCGAAAGTAGTGCACTCACTATCACCCGTTATCAGCAGCAAACACAAACACAACTACTATACCTCCCTCCCTATCGTATCGCAGGCTGGCAGCCCAGTACACGTTGCACTGCTAGAACACATGCTCGCTAGTTATCTACACGCCGACGAGGTCGATATTATAATTCGGAGCATGTACGAATATGGCATAAGAAGTTCAGGCAAATTGAGGCCTGCGAGAAAGGTCAGTCCGGTGAGGAATACTGTTGCGTGTTCAAACTGTACGACGAAACAGAGCTTGTCTGTAATCGGAGTAAACGTTGTAAGAAAATCTCCGCAATTCTTCGAGATTTTCTTAGATCTGAGCAAGGACTTCCATATCCAGATGTCTTTGGCCTTCTCTGTACAAGAGGCAATGGATAAACTTGATTCAGAACCATTGGAAAAGGGTCTGAGTCACTTAAACGAGAATCAATTCGCACTTGGGTTACCACAAACCTCTGGTGGCACAGTGGAGTTCGCTAATTATGCAGGTTAACTACTACTAGCCCACTGATCAAAACTCTGAAGTCCTTATATATACCTTTGATAGCTTTCTTTTGATGAGCAACGACGACAAATTATGAAAAACTACTGATTGAGGATTTACCTCACGCCAAGAAAATTTTGCTTCATTGTGGGTACCCCATTGCCTCAGGTGTGGAACGGACCTCTACAACTATGCGCCTTAATGAATAAATAATACTATAATCACAAAATTTTTAACGTTTTTTAAAATTTAGGGCAGAAAAATTAACTTTTCTCCCTTCCAACCATTGGAAGCCATAGGTATAAAAGACAGACAACGACCTAAGTATACAATCACATTTTCAGATATAATATAGTTGTTAAACTCCGTTTAACTTTGTACCGTGGCGGTGGCACGTGCTTAAGAGGTAGGCTTGGAACTTTGGAGGTGCAGGGTTCAATTCCGGAGGAGTATAATCTATGTCGCAACCAAGAATTCCCTTGAGCAAAAAGTTTACCATACGGTGCTTCAGGCCAGGGGGCTCAGTCGGTAGAGCGTCGTGTTCGAATCGCGGCCTGATCGCTCGCGATTCTTCCTTTTGAGGTTGACATGGTAATACCGTTCTGTGGGAGGGAAAGAGGAGACTACACACTATGCTTATCACATGATCGACTCTGCTCATAAAACAGGATACTTCTGGCTTACGGCTTGGAAATAGAAACCAGCGCCCACTTACAAACTTCATCAAAGGACCGACATTCCAATGGTTGCAAACTCTGTTATTTTCCCCTTAACTTTGACAGTGGCTGCAAACGCCCGTCACGAACGTAGAAACGATTCGACAAACAACCTCCAGCGGGTATATCTATGGTAGAATCACTATCTGTCCATTTTTTATTTATTCATTTTCAAAGCAGCTATCCTCGTTGTGGCCGCTTTAAGAAATTTCTCGAATGATGCTGGTCCCCCTCCTCCAATCAG